TTTTCAGCCTGATTTATAGCAGAAATGAGCAAGATAGGGGAGATGAAGGGATTTAACTCTGCAATCAGATTGTGCATAGCGCAGTAAAACTTGTTTCAACTCATAGCGCAGTAAAACTTGTTTCAGAAACTATGTCGGGAGTTGCTTTACAGTAGGATCAATGGAAATGGAGGAACGACTCATGGCTTGATAATAGAAGGATATCCAAGAACCGAAGCCCAACTAGCTGATATTCAAGCAGTTGTAAGTATAAAAATTCAATTCTCGTGAGAAGTCTTGAAAAAGTCCTATAAAATTAGCTTTATTCTTTTTTAGTTGGGTAGACTCGATCTCGCAATACTTGTGGATTGTACGGAGCAGTTCTGCATAGACAACATTGCGAAGAAGTTCCAAGGAAACCAAAGTATGGTGGAAGACTCGCCAGAAGTTGTAAAGACTAGGATGGCTCTCTTCAAACAGAACACGTTACCAATGTTAAAGTCTCTAGACGAGAAAGGCATTTTGCGTGTGGTTGGTTTTTTCAGCATAGTTTTATTTTACTTTCTAGAACCTTTGTTTTGCGGGGTGCAGGGGTGCACTCATGTATCAATCAAAAGACTACGGATCAAAAGCCTCAATGTAGCACGAACTTTTGGCATTCACATCACGGAGGGATAACAATTTCACCAATATTTATTTGTATCATCGCTTTATTCTGTTATCGTTTCCGAAAGCAAATTAATCATTGCTGCAGACTTACCTCTCCCAAATCTTGAAATCTTGAAACACTAGCCCTTCTTCTTCTGCTCTCACTCTCTGTGTGTGGTAAACCCAATATGGTTACTTTGAAAGATTCTGCTTCAGATTGAAGGAGACTCAGATGTGGAGAGCGTTTACAGTGAGGTTTCAACGGCACTTGATCGTGAAATCTTCAGTAGCAATGGCAAAGGTAAGAACAATGTACTTTAAAAGTTCATAAGCATTTTCATCCAGTAATTGGTAAAATTTCCAACTGTTGAAGTATCATTTCAAGCATGATATAATGCTAAGATAATTTAGATGCGGTTATTTCAGTTGAAGAAGTTGCATAGGAGACGAAGAGCATCAACACTGTGATTCAAAGCAGTTCTTGATATTTGGCAAGATTATCTCGAATGAATGATTCTATACATTACTTTGCACACCTTGTTACGGTTCCATGTTACAGGGCGTTCTATTCGCATGAAGAATAGGGAAGGGCACCTAAGACTCTCAATGACTTCTTTCAACTACAGCAGAGTTATTAGGAATACTTTGGAAATTGCTACAAGAGCTTGAATCGTTTCTTGTGTCTTACAAATCACTCGCCTATATCAGTGGCGTGCCCAGAAATTTTTTTTTCGGGGGGGGGGCGCACGAAATTTTTTTGGGCGGAGGTGCGTGGCGTCAGCCAC